AAGCATTCGGAATGTGCGCGCGTGCGTTTTTACCGCCTCACGTGCGAACATGCGCCCTGCGAAGGGGACAGTGAGGAGGACGCAGGGGAGGGCGAGGAGAAGGGTGACGATGGCGAGGGGGCGAGACGGAGGAGGGGTAGGAGACGGAGAAGGAGGCGGAGAAGGGGGGGGGGAAGAGGAGGAGGGGGGTCGCAGTCGCCGTCGTCGCCTCCGCCGTCGAAGCCGTCGTCGCCCGCTCGTCATCGCCGCAGCCGTCGTCGTCAGCGCCGCCGCCGTCGTCGCCGCTCAATCGTGGTCGCCGCAGTTGTCACTGCCGCGCTCGTCATCGTGGCCGCCGCCCTCCGTCAACGTGACCGCCGCCCTCCCCTGCAGCGCGCGCGCGGGCGACGATGCGGGCGACGGCTGCGACAGCGACGACGGCGACGACAGGAACCGCGGGGTGGCAGGGGGTAGGGGGGCGGGGCTTGCAGGGGGGAGCGGGGGCGACGGTGACATGCGGAGGGTGGCGCGTGGAAGCGTCGGCGGTCAAGTGCGAGTGGGAGGGGCGAACGTGGCGGGGTGCGCGATGGGGCATCACGGCGGGGCGACCAATGCATGGGGACGGAGGGGGGGGGGGGGGGGGGGGGGACGCCCCTTCTATATTCATCCCGCTGCTACTCCTCAACATCATTCTCCGCGCCGTCACCGCATCGTTATCCTGACTATCGCTCTCGCCATGCTCAACGTCCTACCTCGTCCACATCCTCATCGCCGTTCCCCCCTCGCCCACCCTCCTCGTGCATCCCTCCCCGCCCCCCATCTACCCCTCCCGATGCCCCCCCCCCCTCCCTCGACGGCGATGGCGGCGACGGCGATGACAAGCGATGGCGATGGCGACGTGGGGGCGACAACAGAGGAGAACGCGTGTACAACATGTGTTCAGCGCGGCAGACTAGCTCGCGTCAGCCGCCTTTTCTAGGCACGCGTCGACCACGCGAGCAAGAGAACAGCGGGCCTGGATTGCGTGCTGAAGTCTGAGACCCCAGGGCCGAATCACTCTAAACATGAGATCAAGCCCCTGGTGTCGTATGTTAGAATCTCCCATGCGACAACGGCGTCGTATGTTCGAATCTCGCACGCGACAACGGCGTCGTATGTTAGAATATCACATGCGACAACCGCTCATATATATATATATATATATATATATATATATATATATGTATAGCTCTGCGCTCCTTTAATTCACTTCGGCCAGAAGCAACTTGTCGTGGTGACTGCACTGCCCTGCTCGTGCAGGAATCCAGAGACTCATATAACTGACTGAAAAAGATTGGTATTAGAGGCACTTGAATTCCCATTACAGTCAGGGGATCATAGGCGGGGAGGGCGCGGCGGGAGCCTTGGAGCCCCGACGGAGACGGAGGGGGGCCGAGGGAGGGGGGAACGCCCGAAGCGGAGGGGCGTTTGCAAGCACTCGGACCTCTGTCCTCAGAACGGCCACCCGTGAGTGCACTTCGCACAAAGCTAAGACGATACGGGTCATCTCACAAGCTCTGAGCTCCTTTTTTTCACTTCGGCCAGAAGCAACTTGTCGTGGTGACTGCACTGCCCTGCTCGTGCAGGAATCCAGAGACTCATATAACTGACTGAAAAAGACCGGTCTTAGAGGCACTTGAACTCCCGAATTGCCGACATGTATTACTGGGGGCAGGGGCTATCAACACACACACACACACTGCTAAAACCAGCTATTGAGCGAGCGGCCAGGGCGCTTTTAAAACACAAGGCTAAAAGCTCACAGAGGGCAGACGGATACGACTCAGCGATGTGAGTGCGGAAGACGCCGTTCACCTTTCCAGCCAATTCCACGTGTGGCTGGTTGGTCCTTGAACAAAACCCTCGACCTAGGCGCTTTCGCTCAGAAGCTGAGAGGTCAACGTGGACAGAGATGAATTGGGTTCTTTTTCTCCAGGGGCGATTGAACATGCAGAAGTCGGTCCTGTAAGTCGAGGCCGTTTTTAGCGAGAGGATGTGCTTCATCGGAGGGCATATCCACAACTGGCTCGTGGCTGGGTTCTCAAGCGCCGCTGGAATCGCCAGTCGAGAGCACAGCCGTAGCACAGAACACGAAAACTTAAGGAGGGCGTAGCCGATGTCCACTTTGAGCTGGTCTACGTCCATGAGGTTTGGAAGTCCCATCGGCAGGTCGTCGCTGCGCAGCCGTGGAGGACCATTGGGCTTATCGCGAGCCCGTGAGAAGCTAGAGCACGGGGTGCCCATCCAAACGGCCACCACGTAGCCGCACATGATCCAACCACGAATGCGCTTCTGAATCCTCGGCATCGTCGCGTCGTACTGGTCCCTGTGCTTCAAGTCGAACTCGATGATGGGGGCGCCGATCTGCTGACGCCACGCCTGGGAGAAGTGGCCACTGCCGGCGAAGATCTCGAGGGCGAAGCTGACCGACAGCAGGTTCGCCTTCAGGAAGGCGAGCGCCCGGCCAGGATGCTGCCAATCCGCGCGGCGCATCGGAGCGCGGCTTGACGCGCGCCTGGGGCGAGCAGGTGAAGCTGCTCGGCCAGCCGCCCGGCCTTCTGGCATCTCCTCATCGAGTTGGCGGCCGCCCAGTTCCCGCGGTGCTGGATCTCGAGCATCGCGCGGCGACCCAGCGCGTAGTCCAGGCTTGCCCCTGCGCGTCGAAGGCCGAGAGGGTCGGCGGGCCCAGCACCTCCAAGCCCAGCTCCAGTCCGGCCTGACGGTGCCCCCGCGCCCACGCCGGGTAGTCGAAGCTGAACAGCCTTCGCTCGGACCCCTCGCCGGGGCCGCGCAGCTGAGCCAGCACTGGGGCGAAGAACAGGTGTTCGTCGAGATCGAGGATCCGAGAGTCGTCCCAGCGATTTGTCTTGGACGGCCGCCCGAGCTCCATCGGGTGCAACACCAGGGTCCAGCGCCGCTGGAACGACTGGCCGGCGGCCAGCGGCGGCACCAGCTGGCAGGTCCTCAGGTCCAGGAGCTCGCTGGGCCGCAGGTAGAAGATCACGCACATCACGATCGCCGCGGCCCTGTCCCACCGGTCCTTCCGCACCAGGAGGTCCGCGATCAGGCAAACCACCTCCCACGGGGTCGGCAGGCGCGACTGGCTCGGCGACCGCAGGCTCCAGCCCCGCAAGGCCTGCCGGACGCGGGCCAGCCTCGCGCCGCGCTGGCGGCTGAGATCCGGGCGCAGGTAGCAAACGGCACAGACCAGGCGGCTCCCTAAACTCGAGTGGACGGCCGTCTCGAGGTCGTCCTCCGTCTCGATCGGTAGCTCCCGCTCCCGGGCCCAGTCCGCGAAGAGGTCCCAGCTCGTCTGGTGCGGCATCCGAGTCCGCGGCCTGACACTCTCCAGCTGCAAGAAGCTCATGCGGTTGAAGGCCGCCGGCGCCCCGCTCACTGCCCAGCGCCCGCGGGCGGGCGCCCGCGCGGCCGCGGCCTTGGCCGTGCTGCGGCGGGCCCGCCTCGCGGGCGCCATCGCGGGCATCCCCGCGCGGCGCGGAGAGGCAGGAGCGGCGGCCGGGCCCTCCGCCCGGCCACTCCGCGCCGGCCCCCGCGCCCGCGGCGGCGTCGCCACGCGCCGCGGCAGAGTCCCGCCGGCCGAAAGGGAGCTCGGGAGAGGCACCTGGGCCGGCAGCGGCCGCGCCTCGCGGGCCAGGATCGGCTCCTTGCGATCGCCACCCGCCGGAGTCGGAGGCGAGCCCGCGCCTCGAGGGAGCATCCGCCGAGTTGAGCTCGCTGGGAATCCAGCGGACGGTTGCGAAGCAGCCCGACACCAGCAGCGACGACGCCCATGCCCGCACCGCTCTCAGCATGCCTGGGGCCGAACTCTGGCCCTTCGATAGAGCCAGCGTGGCGGACATCGAGTCGGACAAGAAGAGAAGCCTTCGACCCCACCACCGTGTGTTGCGAAGCTGGCGTCGCAGCCCCCAGAGCGTCGACCGGGCCTCGAGGACGGGCATGCCTTCGGGGCGCTTCCAAGGGCGAGAGCACACCACGGACCACTTCCCCTTGAGGGGCCTCTCGGGGACCAGTGGGGCTCGATCGCCTCCTTCGGGGCCCCAGTCCGCCTCGCCGCCCGCGGCGGCGCCCGGCTCAGCTCCTTCGTCGCGCTCTCCAGGGGCGCGGTGGCCGGCCAGGGCCTCCTCGATCAGCTTGCGCGGGCCCCTCCGGAGCCGTCGCGAAAGCGCCACCTGTCCGAGTACTTCATAGCCTCTACGATGTCGCCCTTGTCCCCCTCCAAGACGGCGACCCCGTGCCCCCACTCCGACGCGTCGCTCGACACCACCACGGGGCAGACGGAAGCCGACAGGTCACGCCAACAGAAGCGCGCCAGGTGGGAGGCCCATCGGAGCTCTTTACGCACCACATCCCACAGAGGCACCCGCTCGTGTCGATGCCTTGCGATGAAGGCGTATACTATACACAGCGTTGAAGCAGCACAACAACTCACGACGCATGAGGAAGGCGCGCGCGCAGTGCCCCACGAGGACCTCCAGATCCTTCCCAGAGAGCTTGGGGCGCCCAAGGGCATGCTGAAGGGCCAGACGGATCCTCCAGACACGTCGCTCCTTAGCACACACTACCGGCCGCTCGCTCGAGAAAAACCAACCTAGAGCCTCCCCCCCCGGTCCCGCTTCGACAGGGTGAGCACGCAACCCGGCGAGGCGCAGCTCTTCGGCCACACCGTGAGCCGCAGCTCGGGCGTTTCCCGGGACCTGGGAGAGGGCAACAAAGCTGTCGACGCATTCGGAGTGAGCGACAGGGGGGAGCGAGGGAAGGCGACGGCGATCCTGGATCCTGGACTCCATCCCAAGACCTGGGACCCGGGAGCTGATGTCTTCAAGCGCCCGCTGGCGCCAATTCAGGGCGTGGGTCCACCCCATCGCCAAGACACAGAGACGTGGGTAGACAAGCGTGCTGGGTGAGACCTGGGATCCTTCGACAGTGACAGACACCCCTACACGGCCGGCTCGAACGGGCGCCAGTCCAAAGTACGGGCGAAGCTCGACCGGCATAGCAAGCTGATAGAAGGCATCTTGTATGTCAGTCTGACCGAGCTCGAGAGTGAGATCGGCAGCAGCAAAGAGGCGAGCAAAAGAGTCCCCCGAGGCCAGTCGGGTCTTGGGGGGGTCCCTGAACCAACAATTCGACCGGCGGGCATCAATGATGAGGCGTTGCTTCCCGCTCTTTTTCCAAACAGTAAAAAGTCCGCAAGTCTCGACCACGTCGAGAGAGTACTCGATCATTCCTTTGCTTGACATGACTGCCAAGAGACGCTCGTACTCTCGAGGCCGGTGCAGCAGAGGGTCAGAGTAGGGACGGCGTGGCACCCCCTCGAGGCCGAGACGCACATCTGCCTGATCCTTTGGCAAGGGAAAGTCTTTTACAAAACCGCGGACCTCAGAGCGGCCATCGCGCAGCAGCTGGACCAGGTCGGCAGGGGCGCCGGCCCCGCTCAGGCTGAGCAAGCCCATGTCCATCGGCGCCACAGCCACAGGCGCGCCCTCGTAGCTGTGGTTTGCCCGGAGCTCATCAAAGGCCCCCTGGCAGGCGAGGTCGGCCGGCGGCCGCCCCCACCGCTCGACACTGGCTCTCACGTTGGCCATGCCGAGGTCGTGCACACGCGGCCGGAAGCGACTGGGGCGGCAGACGTCCGCATCCTTGCACAGGTGCCCTCCTATCTCATTCAACGAGCGTGCCACGTCCGCGCGCCACTGGTCGGCGTGCGAGCGGGCCTCGACGCGGCGCCTGACCTTCCGGCTGACGTTGAACTCCTAGGGCTCTGCACGCCCCAGGAACCCTTCAGCGTGAAGAGGTAGAGCATCGTGCTGACCAAAAACCGCACCAGCTTGCTGAAGTCGCTGGCGCTCCCCCTGCGGCAGGCGGGCGGACAGGTCGGGGTCATCCTGCCGCCCTCGCGCTGGCTTAGCCATCCTTGCGCGAGAGGCGTGCCTCCTCCCGCGCTTTTCGCATCTGCTTCGCCACGCTGGCGTCCTTCTCGATCTCCTTTGAAACCCACTCTACCAACTCGGGGCAGATCATCACCACACCTCCGAGCCTGTGCGAGCCAGTGAAGTAGGCCGCCTCCTCGCGCGACAGCCCAGCACCCTGCTCCTTGCCGGTGGCTGCCTTGCCCTTCTTCTCGTAATGGTATTCGATGAGCTGGCACCGGCGGAGCGTGACCTCCAAGCCCACCAGGTTGGGGAGGTCGACCTGGTCGTACTCCCCAAAGAACTGGAACGCCCGCATGCCGTGCTCGTGCTCCTGCACCCCGAAGTCCGTGCCCTGCAAGCGGAGATGGCCGACCCACCAGCGGTGGTGGTCGACCGGGCCGCCCCCCCGGCGGTCCACGAAGCGCGCGCGCCAGTCAACGGTGCGCGGCCCCGGCAGCGGCCAGTCCGAGAACGCGACCTGAGCCATCTTCGCCACCGTCTCCCTCCAGAGGCGCTGGCGCACGCTCGAGGAGTTGTAGGTCACCGGCAGCGCCCGCGCATCGAGGTTGCCGTCGCCAGCTCCACGACGCCTAGCAGTCCGGTCGAGGTATTCCTCCTTGGTCTCCCCGTCAAGGAGCCGCTCCACGAACACCCAGGCCCCGTTCGACACCTGAGCCACGCCAATGCGTGTGTCTCCCGACACCCGCGACGCGTCCGCGACGGTGATGGAGTCGCCCACCTTGCCCTCGCCGGTGTCGACGGCGATGGCCCAGCGCCCCGGGGCCCCGGCGCCTCCGAAGGCGGCGGGGGCGGCGGCGGCAGGGCTGGCGCACCCCGCGGGGTCTCCGTGCCTCCCACCGGCTCAAAGCCGCCCAGGCTGCTGGCGCCCTCCGCCGGAGCCCGGTACCCCCGCACGGCGTCCTCCTGGTCCCGCAGCGTCTCCGCCTGCTGCGCCAGCCTCCTGAGGCCGTCGGCCGAGGGCATCTGGCCGAACCTGTAGCCGCGGCCCCGCACCTGCGCGGGCTCCACGCCAGGAATGTTCTCGTAGAGCACCTCCCCGATGTCGTCGTTCACCTCTAGATCCTCTACGTACATGTCGCCATCGGGCGTCAGCACCACCCAGCTGTCACCGGACGACCGGAGCTGCTTCAAGAGCAATCTTTGATGGTACAGAGCGGGCCCGGTTACTCGGTAGCGCAGCCAAGCCACCTGGTACCTCTCCCCGTGGTCCGCCATCGCCTCCACGAACGGTGCCCGAGCTCCCGAGGCGCCCGCAGCACAGGAGGATCGCGGTGAACCGGCAAGTCACGCCAGCGCCTGCCAGGACGCTGAGAACGAAGAGGAGCAGGCCGCCCGAGCTCCAGGCGTTGCAGTCCCCCGCGGCCTCCAGAGCCGCCGGGCACTCGCTGGCGTGGCACGCCGGACAAGGAGGGCACGCCACGGGCTGCGGGCGCGGCGGCAGCGCGACCGCCGGGCAGCTCGTCTGCGGGCGCGGCGGCGGCGGCGGGCAGCGGAGCAGGTAGGCCTGTGTCACCTGCGCCGCCGCCTGCAGCCCAGGCACCCAGAGAGCCCCTGCCATCCGCCGCGGGCGCTCGCGCACGCGCCTCAAGCCTTGGAGCCCCGACGGAGACGGAGGAGGACCGAGGGGGGAGGAACGCCCGAAGCGGAGGGGCGTTTGCAAGCACTCGGACCTCTGTCCTCAGAACGGCCACCCGTGAGTACACTTCGCACAGAGCTAAGACGATACGGGTCATCTCAACATATATATATATATATATATATATATATATCATAATGATTCGATTAACACATCTGCCAAATGTGAGAATCTCACATACGACAAAGCTGTCGCATGTTAGAATCTAAAATACGGCAGCGATGTCGTATGTTAGAATCTCACATGCGACAACGGTGTCGTATGTTAGAATCTCACATACGACAACCGCACCCCAACTCTGTCCATACCCCATATCAAGAGGAGGTAGCTGCAGCGCGCGGTCTAGAATGGACCGCAAGTTGGCGCATCGCCAGCCCATGCCACGCTGGTGGTGGCGTTGGGCACATCAAGTGCCTGGCGGGACCTTCAGCGCCAGGCCGCCGCCCAGACCCGCCAGCGCGTCTTCTTGGACCAGCGGGTGCACCCCCGACGACTCTCATCTCTCATGAGATCGTTTAGCCCCTCGCTCACCTCTTTCGCCGCCAGAGCCTTTGCAAGGCGGATGTTCCTACCACCCCTCGGTTTAGGAAGCTCGTCGTTGCCCTTGTAGTCGCCCTTGCCGCCGCCGTGGTAGTAGTAGCCCTGGTCGTCGCCCTTGCCGCCGTCGTAGCCTGTGTCGCCGCCGTCGTAGCTCTGGGCGCTGCCGCCATGGCCTTTGCCGCTGTCGTCGTAGTAGTAGCCGCTGCGCGTATCGCGATCAGAGTAGTCGCCATAGCTGTCGCCGCCGTCGTAGTAGCCCTTGCCCTTGCGGTCATCGCGCTCGCGCGCGTAGTGGCCACTGCCGCTGCCGTAGCCCGCGTTTTCGTAGTTCGTGCTGTCGTCTCAACGCTTGCGGTCGCACCCCCTATTGTCGTAGTCCGTGCTGTCGTCCCAGCGCCTGTTATCGTAGTGGCCGCTGTCGTCGCAGTAGCCCTTGCTCGAGCTGCCGCGGTGCGGGTCGTCGCCGCCCTTGTCGTTGGCGTAGCCCTTGTCGCGGCCATTGCCGCTGTAGTAGCCCTTGCCACTGCGGCCTTTGCCGCTGTCGTAGCTCGAACCACCGCCGTTGCCACCGTCGTAGCCCTTGCCACCGTCGTAGCCTTTGCCGCCGTCGTAGCCCTTGCCGCCGTCGTAGCCCTTGCCACCATTGTAGTAACCCTTGCCACCGTAGTCCGCGTCGCCGCCCTTGCCATCATGGCCGTCGTCGTCATCCATGAAGTCCGCCACGTCCTTGAACGCGTTCAAGTCGGGATCGAGCGCTGGCGCCGTGCCCGCGGCCGCGAACAAGACGTCGGCCGCTTTGCTCCGCTGATGGGCGCGGGCCGCGTTCAGGGGCGGCGGCGCCGACGATGGCGTCGGCGCGCGCGGGCGCGGTGCCCGCTTGGAGGTCGGCTACAAGACAGCGTCGCCGTGCCTCCGCTTGCTGATGTCATCTGCCGCCTCCAACAGCAACGTCGCGGCCGCGTCGTCCGCCGCCATGGCGCTGGCGCTGCCGCGCAGGGCGCCGCTGGTTGCAGTGGCGCTGCAACGCGAGGTGCTGCTGGAGAGATGGCGCTGCTGCGCGAGGTGCTGCTGGTTGCGCTGGTAGCTGCTGCGCGCGAAGCGCTGCAGCTGGTCGCGCGCCGCAATGCTCGGGCCTGCACGGTGGCGGCAACGAAGGAGGATGAGGTCGGGAAGTGTTATCGACGCCATAGCGTAGCATTGCATGTCGTACCATAGCCGCATCATAGCGCGGGGCACTGAGTTCGATGCGAGGTTGTCTGGAGCTGAGTTAATTGCGAGGCTGCCTCGAGCGAGCGCGGGCGACGATGACAGCACAGGCAACTCATTTTCATGTTCACATCACCAAATATTCTCGGAAACGACGCGTGCCTGCAGCAAACTACTGTGCGCGCCCATAAGTGCGCATAACGCAAATAGCCGGCGCCGCCCGCGAGTCCGGACACCCCCTTCGCCCGAATAGTTCGCCCCACCGACCATCGTCGTCGGAAACTTTAATGTTTTTGGTCGGGGGTGGGCCCAGGGGAAAACATGTCGGCGCCGGTCAACGCGTTGTTTCCGCTGCTGCATGGACCAAGGCCCCCTGGGAGGGCCCCTTTCTCTTCCCAGGGGATGCGCGGCCGCTCGCGAGCGGCGTCGCGCGGCCGCGCGACGGCGGCGCCGCCCGACGCGGAGGCCGACGAGGCCGCGGCGACGCTCCAAGGCGCCCAGGCGGCGGCGTTCGCACGCCTGCAGGAGGACTGCGGGAGTGAGAGCTGGGGGAGGTGGAGATGGAGTCGGACGAGAAGGACGAGGGGGGGGAGGTGGAAGGGGAGGATGCTGAGGAATATGAGGAGGAAGGGGGGGGGTGGGGGGGAGGGGGGGGGGAGAGGAGGATGATTGAGCGGAGGAGGAGAATACTGTTGTGCAAGCGTTGTCCCCCTCTAGGAGTTGGCGTGGGAGCGGCAGTTGACGGGCCGCTTGGGGCGCCTGCTGCAGAGAGCCAGGGAAATGCTTGCCGGAGGGCTGCAGCCCCAGACCGATGGCAAGGGCCGCGGCGGTGGCAAGGGCAAGGGCCGCGACGGTGGCAAGGGCCATGACGATGGGGGGCGCCACGACGGCGCAGTGGCAAGGGCCGCGACGGAGGCAAGGGCGTGCAACCAGCGTCTGACGAGCGGTGTAGGCGGCTCGAGGAAGGCTACGACGGTGGCAAGGGCAGCTCGAGCAAGGGCAGCGACAACGGCCGCGACGGTGGCAAGGGCTACTACGACGACGGCGGCCACTACGACACGGGCTACGAAATCGGCAAGGGCCGCGACAAGGGCTACCACGCAGATGGCGGCAAAGGCCGCGACAAAGGCTACGGCGACAGCGGCAAGGGCCGCGACAACGGCAAGGGCTACTGCGACAAGGGCTACTACGACGGCAAGGGCTACTACAGGAGCTACTACGACAAGTGCGGCATACGTAAGGGGTGCTACGACGCCCGCTGCGGCATCTGGCGCCGCCCGAATCGACGACGACGACGACGGTGGCAGGGGCCGCGACGGTAGCGAGGGCCACGACGGTGGCGCGGGCAGCGACAAAGGCTACGGTGGCGGCAAAGGCAGCTCGAGCAGAGGCAGCGACAACCTCTACGTCGGTGGCAAGGGCAGCGGCAACGGCTACGACCCGCGCGGCAGCTCGAGCAAGGGCCGCGACAAGGGCTGCGACGGCGGCAAGGGCAGCAACGCAGGCCACGGCGGTGGCATGAGCAAGGGCAGCGACGCAGGCTGAGACGGTGGCAAGGGCAACGACGACGATGGCAAGGGCTACTGCGACGGTGGCAGGGGCCACGACGGCGGCAAGGGCAGCGGCGACGGCGGCAAGGGCGGCAACGACAGTGGCAAGGGCAGCGACTCGAGCTACGACGGCGAAGCTGCCAACGACACGGACCACGACGGATGCGCGAGCACCTGCAGCGCGGTGCGCGACGGTGCGGGATACGAAAGCATCGCGGACACGAGGGCGGATGTTGGCGCGATCCACGAGGGCGCCTCCGTCGCGGGCCGCGCGGCTGGCGCGAGCAGCGGCGTGCGCGACGAAGGTCGCGCTGTACTTGAACTGAGTTATGTTACTACGTCCCCGCCGCCGGCGGGGCCTGATTCGAACTGAGCGCGCAAGGCTAGAAAGGCATAAAGATGGGAGGGCGGTTTGGGGGGGGGGCAGAGAGGACATGAACCTGCATGCATTCTGCTTCCCTCAGCGCCCGCGGGAGGCGATCCATCGCCTGGTGGCGAACCGTTGCCTGGCGAGCCGCGGCCTTCATCCGTCGCCTCATCATCCACGCGCTCTTCCAAGGCCTGCTCGAAGCGACCCCGACGGTTCTGAGCCGCCTGGGCGATGCGCGTGGGCCCCCAGTCGTCGGCCCGCCCCCGCGCGCTCTTCTAAGGCCTGCTCGAAGCGACCCCGAAGGTTCTGAGCCGCCTGGGCGATGCGCGTGGGCCCCCACTCGTCACCCCGCCCTTGTAAACGCCTACTATTGAGAAAAAAACACATGAACACGGTCCTGCGGCGCTTGTCGCACCTGACGCCCTCGACGCCAGCTGGGGCCGACCTCGCCCGTGACGCTTCCCCCTGCATGTGAGCCGCAGAAATCGTTGCAGCGATCGACGCAATGCGCGCGTGCTCCAGTGCCACTAGGGTACACTCGATCCACGCCTTCTTAGTTGCATTCGAGGCGATGGCATCGCGTGTCAGTGCTGACCGCCGCGCATGCAATCAGCTGCTGGGGGTTTCTGGTAATCCCACCAGCCCTTTATGGCGCATAGCTCAAACGCTTCCACTTCACCCCTTTCACCCCCTTCGGGAAGGGGTCTACCCTTCCCCCTATGTACACTCTCTCCCCATGGACCTGGGCGGGGCGCCCCGCGAGGTGTCGGGGGGTTCTGTTGCGCCTAGATCGGCTCCAAGAGAGACTCAGGGACCTCGAGATGGCCGCGAAGATGGCCCAATGCATCGCGCGATGCCTCAACGCGGCCCCCAAGATGCTCCAAGAAGTCCTAAGACCGCTTCAAAAGGGCCCCAC